CCCCCAAAAAAAAAAAATTTCAAGAATGAAGTCCTTATGTTTTCATTTCCCTTTACTTTTTCAACAGTTAGCTCTTGGATTAAGAATCTGGTGAAAAGTTTATTGACTGATGTATGATTTAGCCATTGTTTGCTATTGCAGAAAAGGGTTGTGTTATTTGAATGCTTTTGCACTACAGGTTTAAGGTCTTAGAATGCAATGCTGCAGAAAACATGAACTCTGTCTGAGTTATGATTAACCTAAGCTTTAAGGAACATTGTATCAGAGTGAAAACCAGTGTTCTCTGTAGTCATGTGCATAGTCATTCATGATTAGATAACTTTTTCAGTCAGATGCTGCCTAAAAAACAAAACTTGGATTCAAACTTTCAGTTACAACTTGTTGTCTTTATCTGATCCTTTCCAGGTCTGTGTGATCATCAGACCGACAAACTATTGTCTTTTTGCAAAACCTCTTACCCTGCTGAATGTGAAAGCTATTATCTCCTTACATTCACTGAGAAATGAAAGAAGCAGACAAGACTTAAATAAGGAAGAGAAAGAACAAAAGCATTCTCCATTTCTTCAAAATTTGATAATGTACTACAAATAATGATCATGATATGATCAAGATTACAGATGACTGGCATCTCCAGCAAAACAAAAACAACCTCCCATATTATGAACACACTTATGTTTCAAACCCTTCATAGACTGAATTACAAGACTCAGAATAATATGTTTCACTGGCAATCTAAATATTGTGTTTGTCGAGAACACTGTAACATAGTTTATGAACAAACAGACATGACAAATGCTTCGGTTTCTGAGCCGCGAGAGCAGATTAAATGTGTGCTGCTTCTCCTTTCTTGAAATCACTTGAGCAATCTGCCAAGGAATCAGGATACTTTTGAATTCTATAGACTGCAGAGTATCTTTGGCTGAATATCCTTCAAGCTTGAGGCATGCCATAGATTTGTGCATAAACCCTCTTCGTTCGATGCACAACAATCAAACTCAAGATAAATGCAATGATACAGAGTCCTGACATGATGCCCATTGTGAGTGAATAGCATATGGAGCCATAACAAGTAAGATAGTCATCCTTAACGAGAGGCACTCCTAGCCCCAGTCCTGAACCTTGAACCCGTTGTTCATGTTGCTGCTTTGCCTGATAGTCATATATACCACTAGCAATAACACCAGAAAAGATCAGGGAGCCGGCCGGACTAGCCAATGTAAGGAAGTTATACAATGCACCGAAGCTTTTCAATCCAAAAAGTTCCGAGACTGCAGCTGGTACAATTGCCCAGTGTGCTCCATAGCAGAGTCCTATCACCACAGAGACTACATATATTGAACCAGGCCAACCCATAGCATAGAAGAACAGAGCAAATGCCATAACAACTTGAACTGCAGCCATTGCCACTGGTCTTGGGTATGCAAAGTATCTGATAATCATTATAAACAAGTTAGAACATGAGAAAAAAAAATGCTTCAATTAAAGAAAGAGCTTATTAGTGCTTAGGAACTTGGATACATACTTTACTATATTCTCAGAGAAGTATCCACCAGCAACACGGCCAAGAAAGTTCCAAATGCTAATCATTGAGACAAATATATGGGTGTTAGCATAACCTAATGACTGAGACATCTGACCCAGATTATCAATCACTGTCAAACCAGAACCAGATGCTAGAACTAGGGAGATAAAAATAAGCCAAAAGTCTGCCTTCACTAGAGCCTGAGGCAAAGTGAAATCCTCCCCTCTGCGTGGACCTTTTCTCCGCTTGACTCTGACTGCTCCTTCTGCTGCTGCTTGAAATAGTTTAGCTTGCAAGTGCATAATTCTCTTTTGTCTTTCTGATGGTGGGAGTGTGTCTACCTCAGGAGTCTTCTCGTCTTCCACCTCGCTGAGAATGAAACTCCCCATTCTAGAGGATTCTTGTTTCTCTGCTTCAGGAAGAAGGCTCTCCTCTAAAACGGGTCTTGGTCCAGAGAAGAAAACCAAAAAAATAGGAATAATAACCGGAAGCACTACTAAAATAACTAAGACAATTGTCAATATGATTATCACATTCTCATTTAAACTGCTTAAATCCTGAAGAAGCAAAACTGCCAACAGATAAGCTGCCAGGATAACGCAAATGCTGTAGGTAAATAGGAAGCTCGAATGATCTGAAGGTCTAACTTGTTTGTGACCACCTACAGGTCTAACCAAGAACATCACAGAAGTAATTACAATTGATGGCCCAACAGCAACCACGAAAACAAGGGAGGCTTGATCAGGAAAGTTGAACATAGCATAAACTTGTGTCAAAATTGCACCACTTAGCCCAGCAAATCCTTTAAGTATCCCCACTACTGGACCACGGCTTTTAGGAAAATTCTGTACACAGGAAACTAAGGCTCCTGTATTGAAGTATGTCTCACCATTAGTTCCGATAAATATCAAAACGCAAAGCTGCAAAAGAGAAAAAACCACAGTGAATTAACTATTACCAAAAGAAGTTGTGTGAATACATCCAGGATGAAGGGGAACCCAACCTTTAGTTCACATTGAACATGTTTTGATTTGTTTAGTGTTAGAAAATCATGTTGAAGCATTTCTTAGCTTTACAAATTGAGTAATGATAAGAAAAAGCCATTCACAATAGGTAACATCTGCATTACCCTTTTTTGGACTATTTCTCGGTTTGTGCGTGTCATCCTTGCGCAGGGGCCATGGTAATCTACTCTGTATCGTTCCAATTTTATCGGATGTCCCCAATAAAATTGGGACTCCTAGCATTTTATTCTCCTCAGTTCATGTTCAACAGCAAGCCTTTCTCGCTTGTCCCATGTTATTTCTCATCATCGTCTTCTTCACTTGTTCAGTGTCCTTAAGGTGTGTCAAGACCATCTTAGTTTATTTTATCTTCTCTAGGTTCATCTTAACCAGTTTCTTCAATTCATTAGCTTGTTATAGCATTCTTTTTTGTTTTATCACATGTCTATCTTAGTGTCTTCATTTCAGCCAAGCTTGCTTACTAATGGTTCTTTTTGGCAGTAGATGCCAATTATTATGTAGCATACATTTTATATCCAGTATCACTAAAGCCACTTCATCAAACTTTGCTTTGATGTCATTACGAAGCATCACATCCCCAAATCACAACACTGAATCCACCTACCTCCAGAATCATCATGGCCAATATCTTTTGTTCTTCATTTCTAGGAACAATTGACTCCAAAACCTTAGTTACTAGCTTTTAAGAAATTTATCTGTCCTCAATATGCTGTTACTGCTTCCCCCTTTCTTTTTGTGATAGATCCAGATTTCAGGGTATATATATAATTCAATTTCGACAATGTTAATTTTCTACTTTCAAGTGATTTTGACTGTTAATTTGGTCTAACATGATTACTTCCCTAGCTTCATCTATTAAGAATCAGCTCAGATTGTCTAAAGGGCAGCCCAGTGCACTAAACTCCCGCTATGCGCGGGGTCCGGGAAGGGCCGGACCACAAGGGTCTATCGTACGCAGCCTTACCCTGCATTTCTGCAAGAGGTTGTTTCCACGGCTCGAACCCGTGACCTCCCGGTCACATGGCAGCTCATATTGTCTAAGCATCACAAACATTATGGAGCCTTGTCTTGTATTCCCCCTATGATCCATCAATTTAATAAAGTTAAAACTGCTTCATACCAAAGCTTAAATGATATCAATACATCCAACCCTAACGTATTTCCTCTCTAAAGCTGACCATAAGTTAAATTATGAATTCACAAGTATGCTATGCCAGATGCTTCCAGAAAACTGACTACTGCAAGTCTTTTTATTTTATTTTATCAGAAAACAAAATGTCATGACTGCTGGTAAACAAATTGGACAACCTAGGATTTTTTTTTTCTAAATGTTATGATTTCATTATTTTGTTATGTATAGGATTACTAGCAGATCAATTGTCCATCTGTCCCAGTGTATCAGCGAGTTAGTTTCTCTTTCTATTCTTTAGCATCCAAGGGTGAGGCTAGCGGTTGATGAAGTTGGAATGAGAACCATGGGAGATCAAGGTTAGAAAACCAACAGATGCAGAAAAGTTGCATAATTTCTTCCCATCTACCTAGCCTTGGTTGGCTATACAGAGTCACTAGACACCTATACTGGTGGGAGGATAAAAGTATCCAGTGAAATAGTCAAGGTTCTAGCAAACAGGCCTAGACACCACTATTTTTTTAAAGAAAGGGTTGTTAGCACCTTTGTTTTAAATATATACTGTTATCACCAGTTTTCTTGTTTCTCAAGGACAGGCAGTTTACCACAACTTCTTATTCCACTTCCACCATCAAGCTCATTCCACCTTTTTTAAGAGTTCAGGAATAAAAAAGTTGTGCAAAACTATATCCCAGTGTTGAATAGCAATCAATAGCTTCAGTAATAGCTGTTGGGATTTTTTCAACCTAGCAGCAACAGAACTAATAATAATGTACATAATCTTCTCCCACATTAATCGTTAATAAGTCTTGTACAGAAGTCATTGGTAAAAAACTGAGATGACACTGTTCAATTTTGCTCGACCAGTGAGCAAGATTAGTTATTTTCTTATGATAATGATATTTTGTAAACCTTCGGGACACTGAGTCCAAAAATTCGAAGAGCCTGGGTAACAAATACATTATCGTGGTTTGCAGCCCATGCAGCCAAACTTGTCACCTGAGACACCTACTTCCTAGACCAAATTGGTTTTACTCTCTAGAGCATATCCATGAACTACTATATATAAGTTCAACTAATTCCATAAATTTACTTTTTGCAACTCCCATTCAAGTTGCAAGCTAGATCTTAAATTTCCTAGCATCAATACAATTGATATATTTTCTATACTGAAATTAACACAAAAGACACGACTGAATTGAAAGTTTCAAGTGTTATTGATGATTACAGAAGCGATCTCCCGCACATTGTTTTTGGAACAGAATTATATACAGTGTATCTCCACGTGGGATAACACACAATAACAAATCCCAAGAACACAAAGTACATCCATAAGTAAGTTAAATATCATATATTATGCTAAGCCTAAACGTTCTAAGGATCCTCCAGAACACAAAGTACAAGCATTACAGCAAAATGAGGAACTCATACGTCATCGTCACATGGACAATAACTTGGGCTCAGAACAGAACATTAGGCCAGGCAATTTTTTAAGCAATAACTGCTGCAAAGACAACTTCTTTAATCATTAATCCATCTAATTAGTTTGTTCCCAAATGCTGCATTCCAGTTGGACACTGTAAATTTAGGTCTCTATTCATTATCACTTGTAAGTCATAGCCAATTGGCAATTCATTGCCCACTGCTTAGTCAATTTGGACGTACAAGCGGTCAAATTCCCCTCTATTTATCAAGGCAATAAGTGTTTCTATCATATTTCAGGAGCCAATTAATGATGTCAATTATTTCTATTGAGATCATTCTGCTGATTCAAAGCCAATTTGCAATCCATTGACTCTACTATTCAGGCAATTTGGAAGTATAAACAGTCAAATTGTAAGATCATAGCATAAAAGTAAAACCTCAGCCTACAAAATCAAGAAAGCTACTACCTTGATCAAAACCAACAATCACATCCAAAAATTGCAAACAGATAATAGGGAAAAAAGAGATAAGTGAAACTGACCACCCAGAGAGGCAAAGCAGGCAATTTGTGAGCTACAATAAGCCAAACAAGACCATATCCAACAAAATTCTGAATAACACCAATGAATAGAACAGCCCATATGGGCAAAACTTCACACAAGATACCAGCAAGAAATCCAATAGCATCACCCAAATCCTTGGCTACACCCAACATAGCAATTTGCCTTTGGTTATAACCCATACCACTTTTGATCACTGGGGAAATGCTCCCAAACAGATACCCAATTCCAGAACAAGACATAACCCACATCGATGCCACAAAAACTAGCCATCGATCGTTTAGAAATGACTTGATTTTCTCTGAAAATTGCACCATCTTTAGTTTACTTGCCAATTCTTGATCCTGATTTTAGTTCTAGTGTATGCATGAAAATGGTGCAGTCACTGTAGTAGTAATAGTAAAGAGTTGGTGTGATGATTGATCTACAACACAAGTGCTTAATTCTTGGAAATTTTAAGGTGGATATATATGTTGAATGTACTACTACTACCCCACCAACCTGCTGTATGTGGCTGGCTCCTAGCCTTCTCCTTTTTGTTTTTTCCAAACTTTAATGAAAAGATATGAAACGTGAGTGGAACTATTTCTATTAAATATAATTTTTCAAAAAAAAAAAAAAAACTCCTCAGATTTTTGTACAAGTAGTTTTTCTTTCTTTCTTCCCAACTACTCCCTCCGGTCCAAAATAAGTGATTTTTTTTGGATGTTTTCACACAGATTAAGAAATCCACCTTTTAGCATTAATTAGCAATGAAATTGACCATATTAACCTCTACTATCTCACATAAACACTCCTAACACATATTCCAACACTATTTACTCCAAGGACAATGTGGGAAAAAAATAATTAATTCATTCTTGAAATATGGATAAATCACTTATTTTGGACCACAAGAAAAAGGCCAAAAAATTACTTATTTTGGACCGGAGGGAGTAGTAATTTAGTGCGCTACCTATTTTCCCTTCTTTATATTAGATACTAGTGAATTTGTCGCGCTTCGCGCGATTATTTTATAAAAATTTTCATGGATTTATGAGATTTTTTTTGTTAAATTGGATCGAGGTAGACGAAGAAAAACTATGAGAATTATTAGTCTCATCTATAAAAAAAAATGTCAATATCTAATTTTTTTTTTTTAATGTCTATTGATTTCATACTAACAATAATATAGGCAAGTAACAATATTAATACACATTTTCCTGGATAGAAGTGAAAATAATAATAATTAACGATTGAATNTCCTCGGTTTTTTGGCCGGGATTTGGAAAGAAAAAGCTCCTCGGTTTTTGGCCAGGAGATAAAAATAAGTGATTTTTTTTGGATGTTTTCACACAGATTAAGAAATCCACCTTTTAGCATTAATTAGCAATGAAATTGACCATATTAACCTCTACTATCTCACATAAACACTCCTAACACATATTCCAACACTATTTACTCCAAGGACAATGTGGGAAAAAAATAATTAATTCATTCTTGAAATATGGATAAATCACTTATTTTGGACCACAAGAAAAAGGCCAAAAAATTACTTATTTTGGACCACAAGAAAAAGGCCAAAAAATTACTTATTTTGGACCGGAGGGAGTATATAATAAGTTGTTAATGGCTGCTTCATAGTATCACGGATCCTTCAACTGCCACCCGTTTCCACCCCCACCCCCCGACCCCAACTCGTGGATTTTTAAAAAAAAAAAATTCATATCGTGGATAAATAAACTTATTAACAAATTCAGAGGTTATAGGAGCGGAATTCAAGTTTTTTTAAGTTATTTGGTCTAAATTAATAATTTGTATATATTTAATAAATTTCTTAAGATAAATACAGGATTTTGAACCAAAGCTACTGGGCTCGAGTTTATGCTAGCTCTGCCATAACATTATATTTATGTATTATCATTTGCCTATAAATAATTAATATATCTTTTTAACTTATTTATAAATTTACTATAGTAAATTTGTGTAAATTGATGGAGATATTGAATATGAGTAAGCTTTTTTGAGAATATTCCACCAGTTTAAATAGATTTCCTTTTTATGATGAATCTTGGCTTTATGATATATTCACCTTATTATTGGGTATTAAAGAGTTTTCTAACTGAAGTGTGTTCCTATGAATATTCCTAATTTGACGACACGAGTTAGGAAAAAGGAGGAAAAATTAGAAAGAATCTTAAAAAGTGTTAAATCAAAAGAACACAGTACCTCATCGAATTTGTTTTTCCAAAAATTCTTTGAGTGCTATGTGGAAAGGCGAGAAAGGGAATAAAATTGAAAAAAATAAAGGACCTTTTTTTCTTAATTACATTTTTGCTTCAGTTAATTCATGTCATCATGTTTATGGAGAAAACAAAACTCTTTCGCTAACTTTTTCCAATTAAAATTTTAAAGCCTCCCTTTTTTTTTGAGACATGTATTAATTTTTAGCCGCTCCCAAAAATAATATAAAATGTATATTTTCTGCATATATATGTATTATATACAAATAATATATATGTTTTATATATTTTTTGATTAGCGAACGTAATTAATTTTGACCGATCTACTAATTTTGTAATTTGTCCCTTTTTTCCCATTGCTTATCATGTCTTTTTTTCCATCCCATTTATTATTATCTCCATTTCTAAATTTTTTTTTACAAGCATAACGTGGAACCATGTGGCTTTGCCAATAAAATATCGAAGTTTCCTGAAAAGAAAAAAGAAATTTGATTGGGCATCTACAGATTGATTGGAGAACTTTAGAAATGAAAAGAATAATGACCATCACATCTTCATTAATTAAAAAAATAAATGACAAGAAGAATAAGGAAATAAGAAATTGAGGAGACTATGAGTTGGATTATACCTATGTCTTTGTTAAACCATACTTTAATCATAGTGGAAAATTATATTTCTCTTTAACTTTTTGTGTGAAAAACTAGATTTTGTTTCCTATTTATATATACACTCTTCTCTTTTATCTCAAGATTCGACAATCATAATTTTTTTTCTTAGAGTTTTGTATTTAACCAATCGCAAAAGTATAACATGTTTAAAAAAATTGGAAATTTACCATATAAATTACTAGAAATAAGAATATTCCTCGATACCACTTTGTATATGTTGTCTGACTAAATTCCTAAACGTCATTTTAATGTATTCATTCCTCTTAAGTTGAATTTCTTTTTAAAAATGAAAGTTGATAATACAAAATTTCTATAACAAATGGCGCACAAGAATTTAAACGAATTTTAAATAATTAAAATATATAAATATTGTTCAGGTTTTGGTTGATATGTATCTGTTCATATACTCTATGATTGCCAAAGATATTTTAAATCCAACCTCAGTTTAATATTTTCCAATAGATTTTTAGCAAGTGAAGACAAGATATTAAAATATCTTTGTACAATAAGGAAATTAATAGTGATGGAACGATATATAGCGGATAGAATTCATCAAACATTATATTTTGTAGGGGTGTTTATAGGATAGGTGGTTCGGATTTTTCAACTACCAAACCAAACCAATGTGAGCGTTACTGTGTTAAAACACAAAATCAGAAAAAAAACTGTTAGAAGAATTAAAGAAATCTGGAAAATAGTAGAGAATCAGAAATATTCCGAGTCCACAAGTTTCTTGTGTGTCCTTAAGGAATTTTAACCCCCTCACAAGTTGCCAAGGTAATGGATTAAATCCTCCCAGGATAAAACGAAATAAACCTTCCTGCAACAGTGGCAATACAAACTGCAGGATCCCAACGAACTCAAAGAACGGTGCAAAATCACACTNCTCCTAGGGTCCTCGACCCTCCACCTCCTATCGATCCCTACCCCCTGCCCCCTGGCTGGCTGGGCAGGCTGTGGGTCACCTGGTGCCTCGAATCATGGGCGAGGACCCTGCTGCTGTGACTGTGTACCCCTCAATCTCGGGCAAGCTCTCCTGATGTGACCATACTCGCCACACTCATAACATCCCTCTGTACGATGAGACTGGCCCTGACGACCCGAATGACCTCCACGAAAACTCTGAAAAGGCTGTGCACTGATGGGCTGCTGATCAGAATACTGCCCACGAGAACCACAATCGCCTGGAACACCCTGTGAAGCCTGGAGGGCTGACTGAAAGGGCCTGGAAGACTGACCCCTATCATAAGAATCCCTGCCTCCAGATGAGGCACCACTGAATCGACCTGAGTGACGGGGTCTCTTGTTTGATCTATGACCACCCCCCTGTGGCAGAACCATCTCGATCCTCCGGGCCACATTGGCCGCCTCCTAAAAAGTAATATCACTACCCGCCTCTCTGGCCATCTGAAGACGAATGGGCTGGATCAAACCGTCAATAAATCTCCTCACCCTCTCTCTCTCAGTGGGAAGTATGACGAGGGCATGGCGAGGTAGATCGATAAATCGGGTCTCATACTGAGTGACCGTTATAGACCCCTGCTGGAGACGCTCAAACTGCCTCCGGTAAGCATCTCTCTGAGTAATGGGGAGAAACTTCTCCAGGAACAACTCAGAAAACTGATCCCAAGTCAAAGGCGGCGACCCTGCTGGTCTGGCTAAACAGTAATCCCTCCACCAAGTCTTGGCGGATCCAGATAGACGAAAAGCCGCAAAATCAACTCCATTGGACTCCACAATGCCCATGTTTCGAAGAACCTCGTGGCAGCTATATAAGAAATCCTGGGGGTCCTCAGAAGAAGCTCCGCTGAATGTAGCAGTGAAAAGCTTGGTGAATCTGTCCAGCCTCCACAAAGCATCAGCGGACATAGCTGCTCCATCACCGGCCTGTGCAACTACTCCCGGCTGAACTGCCACAGCTGTCTGAGCCGGTGGAATCTGAGTCTGGGGAGCTACCTGCTCCGGAGTACGTGCAGCAGGAGTCTGGGCTCCTCCTCCAGCCTGGGAAGTGGCTGGTGCTGCAGGAAACAATCCTGCTCGGGTGAGATTCTCCATGAGGCCAACCAACCGGACCAAGGCGTCCTGAAGAACTTGGGTATTAATAAACCCCTCTGGGACCTGAGCTGGGTCCACCGGAACTGTCTGAGCTGGGGCCGGAACCTCCTCAAGACCAACCTGAGGGTCCGCCACTGGTGTGGCTGCTGGTGGCTGGGCCCTGCCCCTACCTCGCCCCCTAGCATGGCCACGTCCTCTGCCCCTAGCGGGATCTGCCTGGGGCTCGGACTGCTGATCGGAGGATGAGGAAGCGCGTGTTCTCGCCATCTGCGAAAGAACAGAGTGGAAAATTCAACCAGCATTTAAGAAACCAAATCGCACGACAAGAAAGAACAGATGAGAGATTTTCCTAACTCAATGGACTCTGGGAACAAGTACAGACGTCTCCGTACCTACCCCTCAGACTCTACTAAGTTTGTCCGTGAGTTGTGAGACCTATGTAACCTAGGGCTCTGATACCAACTTGTCACGACCCGGATTTCCCACCATCAGAGTCGTGATGGCGCCTACTCGTGGTAGCTACGCAAGCCAACTTAATTACCTTTCCATCACTAGCAATTATCTTTAACAGTTTATA